CATGCGCTGCCACGACGGCTGGGCACGAACACGGGCGAGGTCGCCGTGAGCCACAGGCCAACAGTGAGCGCTGCACCGCATGCGCTGCTCCAACGAAGAACCGTGATCGCTCTGGTAAAGACACGCGAGGAAGCCCTTTGCGAGACAGCACACACAAAGCTCTAGTCACAATGCACACACCCCTCCGACCCTTACTTTCCTGTGAGGAAAACTGTAATTCCAATGTATAGTCAGAGAAAAATCCCTGGCTTATGAGACTGGATTCAGACAAAGGAAAAGGGAAACTAAATCCAATCTCCTAAGTGATCATCACTGTCAGTGCCAACACCAAAAAACTGTGGCTAGCCCTGAGTGGCGGTCCCCTTCGCAGGACTGTGACTAGAAACCCAACACCCCGGCCTAGAGGAGGAACCTGTTTGGGCTCAGAGTCTGCAGGGGACTCAGCCATGGCTGGCCGGCTCCCAACAGAAGCGGCCTGGCACAGGGGCCTGGCGGGAGAAAAGGCGCTACTAGTCACGGCCAGGAGTCAGAGAGGGGGCACAGGGACGGGAGTCAGCCTTGCAGGTCGTATCCCAGGGACCACTGCAGCCAGGCCGCGTCCTGATAGCTCGGGCAGCTCCTGCATCATGGACAGGTGAACCCGCTGAGGAGCTCAGGCCTGGAGGGCTAGTCACTTTCCACACGTGGGACTTCCAAGTAGGCATTCAAATACAGACCATAATATTCTGCACTCCAAAGCATGACTAAAAAACTCAGCAACAAACAGAAGAGGAGAAAGAGGAAAAGTGGCCCAGGAACAGGAGCCTCATTCTACAAGAAAACCCAGAAAATGTGCCTTGAATTTGCCCAGTATTTAAAAACTGCAGAAAGGCGGCAGGGAAAACCAACAACTTTGCGAAGAGATCCAGCAAACCTGCAAAGACCAGCAGTCAGAAGACGCAAGGTAGGGCCGGCCAGACAGCTCGGATTAAAGCACCTGCTTGGCAGATGCAGGGACCGGGGTTCAGGTTCTATCCCTGCGAGCTGCGTCAGCCCCACCCCCAGGACACGCTGGAGATTGGGCACTGCTTGTACAGCAGTCAGACGGTGTAGAAAGCGATAGCAAATCGGTCTACCGAGCCCCAGGGCAAATGTTCCAACTAATAAAGTGAGTTTTAGTAACACTGGCTGCACAACCTACACGCTATGATCACCACACACAGGTGAATTGGTTCTAAGAATGAAAGGTGATTAAAAGCAAAAAAGTCCTCTTTCCCCTGATTTAAAACCAACTAATATTAGCCTGGCTAAGAAAGGACTTCACTGAATCTGGATTTATGGGAGAAGATATGCACTTCGGAAAACTATAGGCAAACTTCTGTTGGCCTGGGCATTTTCTGAACACAAATAGCTTTCATGAAACTTTCAATGACCCCTAAAACTGAATTCATGTATGTATAGATAAATAAAAGAGCACTTCTCAGCTCACAGGCATCACCTACAGGTGCACAGCAAGAGCTTTTAAGAAATATCTGTGCCCACTTCTCAATGAAGACTGGTCAAACAAGATTCAGAGACAAGGTTCTAAACAAAAGTTCTTGCTTAGTTTTTGTGGCTTATTCCAAGTGATTCTAATTTAAATATAAGACTGAGAACCAACCACTAATCCCAATTATAGCTTTAAATGATGGAGCAATTTCCTGACTGTGCAGCAGTAAAAACCGTCAGTAAAGCCCAAACTAAAAAGCAGAAGAGCACGCTCGTATTCATTTGGTCTATCTTGGTGTGTGCCTTGTATCCGCCACGCACTCCACGAAGGCTGCTCACCAGGATTCCCCATGCGAACCAGGGCTACTGTTCAGGTGGACAACACTAAACTCAGGCCCGTACTCCTTACCAGTGCAGCCTCCCCCACGGCAATGGCACCTTATCAAGGAGGACGCTGGAACCCCTAGTAGTTCTTATTTAATATGAACCAACCCACTCTTCCCTAATGCATAATAAATTAAAATGTCCACACATTACAGAAACAAAACACAAAAAAACAAAAGCTAAATAGAGGGCTGGTGAGATGGCTCAGTGGTCTAAAGCACCTACTTGGAACAAGCTTAGCAAAGCACAGGGACCGCGGTTCAATCCCCCAGCACCACATGCCAGCCCGCCCGCCCCCTGGTGGGCTGAGCTGGCCACACACGCACACACACACACAAATATAAATAAATAAATAAAAATTTTTTTAAAAAAAGCTAAATAGATGCCAGCCAAATTTAGGAGCCAATGCCCAGAGTGATCCCCAGACCCAGAAGTACTTCAAACTGTGTTCTCCACAACTGGACATTCATCTATGGAGCAACTACGCACCTTCTGGTTACTTTGAGATTTGGAAGCTTCAGAACAAGAGGCATTCTTTGCACGCTGAAGAGTGATGTCCTCAAAATCAGTACATTTGGGCAGAACTTCGAATCTCCCCTGACGAGGTTCAGGCTGGGCTCTATTCTGAGGGAAGGCAGAACCACTGCAGAATTCCTTCAGTTTTTCCAGAGACTGTGAAGCAATTCTGGTCCTCAGACAGCGTTTTCGCTCTTGGGAAGCAAATGAGAAGAAAGCACAGCACGAGGACTTTGGCCTCAGTGTCAGCTTACAGCCTGCACAGGACTAAAGAGGGCCGTGCCCACTGAAGTCGGGAATCTAACTAGCTGACAAAGGAAGGACGATAACCAGATTCCGCGTAAAAACACCCTACTGAACAGCTATATAATTTCACTTACTACTGAAGCCCTCACTAGGAACTACACGAGCATTTTGCTTCTGTTTGCTTTTAGCTGCCAGGACAAACAGGACAGGAAAAGTGACAATCACAAATGAAATATCTGAAGCAAGAACAGAAAGTGAATGGCTGGTTCAGCTAAATCCCAAGTCAGTAACTAAGATAAACAGGAGCAAATCCTACAAAAGAGACTCCTACCAGAGCACCGTCCTCAAGCGATGGGATAGAGGGGAGAGTTCTAAAGCAAGCTCATTCCTAGCTTTTCTGCACCTGGGCAGCACACTGGAGATTTTCCTGGAAGGGGAAACGGGAACACAGGCTGTGTGGGCACCGAAACCCAAGTCCAGAGCTCACAGCTCCTCTTCCAGGCACTTTCAGGTTAACACTGAATCCAAACTTTAAGTTTCATGCAAATATAGGCACCGTACATGTTCATCTCCAGTGGCAGGTATAGCCACTGAACTGGGACATCTATTTCATTACTTATACATTTATTTGGGTTCCCGTGTCCAGAGATTTCCCATCTCTTACTACAAATTCTGTGAGACCCAAAACTAGAGGAAAATCTACTCTACGAGCCCTAAATGCGTAAGAGCTCAAAAATATTGTTTTCCAATGGTGTGTGTGTGTGTGCACACTCACACAGATATATGCGATGTACACATGCGGTCAGTGGTGCTGGAGATGGAGCCCGAGCCTCACCCGCGGGGCAAGCACCATCCCACTGAGCCACCTGCCAGCCCTCAGTGCCTCTTAACACTGCTTTGTGCAAAAGAGAGGGCAGCCCTGGGTGACCTGACATCAGAGTCATCAGAAAGTTCCGCGAAGTGAAAACAAGCTGCAGATCACCACACACAGCGCAAAGCACCCTGTAAAACACAATCCTTACCGCTAACCAATTTGTAGGTTTAGGTGTGCGCCCACATCAGTGGGCCTGAACGGGAAACTCTGGACCAACACTCCGCGGCCCAAACAAGAAGCAGGGCCTTCCCTAAAGAGAAAGCTGTGCACTCTACTTCCAAATCCCTACTGCCTGGTATCTTCCTATCAGGAATGCTCCACTTCTGTAACATGGCTGGCAGGAGTAAAAGAGCAAGTGGGGAGAGCTCTACTGTCCCCACCTTCCACGCACCACACTTCGGCTCAGACAGGGGGCAGCTTGGCCCCTAAAGGAAAAAGTGCCACACTTGGTGCCTTCTCCTCTCTGCCCCCTGGAAGCTGAGGCCTGGTAGACTCCTTCGGCACAGAGGCAGCACCGCCCAGCACTCACCAGGATCGCCAGACAGTGCCAGGCTCCCTCCACCTTCCTGTTCCTGGGCTTTCTTCCTCACTTTCTTCTTAGGAGGTGCAGCTGTCTCCGCAGGTCTTTTCCTTCTGTCAGTTTTTGCAGCCTGCATTGGGAAGGTCAGAGAGCATACATGTTGTCTCAGCCGGGAAGGCTTGAGGTATGTGAAATAAGTGACATGTCCCTTCTGGATGCCATGGAATTCACTGCCGCCCACGCTGCATAGAACCATCTATGGTACCTTTAGCCCTGGAAAGGCCACTGGGTGAGGTGGGAACTGGCAAGTCATGAGCCTTGGTGTTAAGGTTTGTGTCTAGTTGTCTCCCCAAAGCCACACGCAGTCATGTGGCGGACTTCTAGACTTTGTGATTAATTCCTGAGCCAGTGCTACGATTATGGGTGTGAGCTCCACCCAGCCTGGGGCAGACGGCCTGAGTGCAGCCTAGGGCACACAGACTTGCTCGCTGTAGCCACTGCCACCGTTACTCCTCCCTTTTGCTCTTTTTTTAATTTTATTTTTTTTCCATAATTTTATTGAGAAATAAATAGCAATGAGCCAATTTCAAATCAAATTGGTAGGACAGTTCCAATAATTAACACATTGCATGCTAGTGGTTGTTTGTTGTACAAGATGCAAAAATGATATCCTGTTTACAGACTTTATGAAAAATAAGTGTTCCATGTTATGCCTAAGGTGTTTGATATGCAGTGAGGTTAAGCTCAACTGCCTAAGTTGTAGGGTAATAACAATAAGCTTGTCTTCTGGATGGTTAACCACCTAAGTTTGCAGACCAAAAATTAGAGAAAAAGGAGGGCTGCAAGGAAAGCCAACATTTTGGCCCTAGCTTTGCAAGGTCAATTAAGACTCAGGACATATGAGAACTTGTACTCTAACGTCATGTAACTC